AGCTTAGTGTGATAGCATGTGGCTTTGCATCTCTCTCACACACATACCCACACAAATATTGCCAGCTGTGTACTTGATTTGTTGTTGTTGTGTGCTGTTGAGACCATTTCAACTCAGAACAACCCTGTAGAGCAGAGTAGAACTGCCCCCCCTGGGTTTCCTAGGCCATAATGGTCCTGGAATTGTGGCACTGCAGATTAATGCGCTGGATTGTGAAGTAGTTTTGAATTTCAAGGTCGGCAGTTCAAGCTCACCAGTTGCTCCTCAGAAACCCCATACAGGATCACTATAAATTGGAAGGAGTCCTGGTGTGGCACTGTGGGTTAATGAAGCATACTGCAAAGCCGTTTAAACTTCAAGGCTGGTAGTTCAAGGTCACCAGCTACTCCTTGGAAACCCTATACAGGGTCACTGTGAGTTGGAATCGACTCAATGGCACTTAACAATAACATAAATTAGAATCAACTAGATGGCGAAGGCATTTAACAACACGACACTCTTTAGGGAACTGGATCACCAGGGCCTTCCCCTCCCATCCCAGGAGTGGGTTCCAACTGAGGACTTTTCAGTTAGCAGCTGAGTGCTTTATCATTGCCTTCCCAGGGTTCCTTGGAACTTAACATAAGAGATTCAGCATCAAATAATCTCACTTGAGTCACCTGAGCAATAGAAAGAGGAGGAAGTTTTGCTCCACCCAGATTATATTAATTAATTACTTGCATAGCACCTTTGATGACCCACAGGGCAAGGGTTTTCAGGTCAACATCAATCCTTCCTGAAGGTCAGCAATCGGCCATGACTTCTCCATCATCAATACCTTTAATCCCATCAGCAAATTAGAAAAAATCTCCTTTAGAAAAGGTTTAGCAGGAAGCAGGGAATCTTGGGTGTGGGCTGGAACTTGAAGTACTATGGGAAGTATTTCACCTGAATGATGAAGTCTCACCGATTCACTCTCAGCTACCTAATATGCTTCCAGCCCGGCACCAGGAAATGGTCCTCTGGCTGATTTCTGTGCTTCATTTCATCGGCCTTAGATTATCTGCTTCTCCATGGCACACGTTACGAGACACTGGATGTCACTGTGCCTATAAACTAACTTAAAGCCACCCAACTGATGCTTTTTGGTCGTGCAGAGACAGTTTTTGGGAAACTCAACTTGTCTGAAGAAAGATGGCCAGTGCCTGTTATGTTATGTAGTTGATGCTTCAGTATTTGAGTTACTCCATTCACTTCTCAAAATGCCCTCTAAGATGATAATGTAGATGCTATTTCCCTTTTGGAGTCAGGGTGTAGCACTGCCAGTTAATGCATTGGACTGCAAGGCCAGTTTGAACTGCAAAGTCAGTTTGAATTGCAAGGTTGCAGGTTCAAGCTCACCAGCCGCTCCCTGGAAACCCTATACAGGGTGGCTATGAGCTGGAACTGACTTGATGGCACATCACAACAACTTCCTTTTTATACTGGAAGAACCCGAAGAATGAAATACTGAGATGCCCATGGCGACTGACAAGGTGGTCCAGCACTACAGGCCTTGTTCCTTCTACCAATCCTGGTGGTCAGGTTTCTGTGGTGGCCTTGGATTTTTTTTTTTTTTTTTTCTGTCTAGAGCGAAGTGAAACAGAATCAAATGTGAAAGTGAGTGGGCTGCCCAAATGGTGCAGAGAGCCAAACTTGAGGCTTGCATTCCTCAGTGTGCGGTAAGAGATGCTCAAAATAGGTTAGTGTCTATCTCAATGGAAATTACCACAGCCAGGATGCAAAAGCACCCACTAATTAAATGAGCAATGGGAATCTCAAAATAATTTGTTAATAGTCTTGGCTGCTTGCAGCAATCTCTCTTCTGTTAGTTATTGTATCAGTGAAACTTCACGCCCTTTTCATGTAAAGAATGAAGTCTCCCCGCACGCACGTGTAGACTTTACTGTACCGGCAGATGTGCTGCTCCTCAGATCTCCAGCCTCTCCTCCCTCCCCACAGAGGGGAAATCTTGGCTCCCAGAGCCTGGCTGTGGAAGAGCCACTTCAGTTGACAAGCACTGCCTTTGGAACCACAGGAAGCAATTATTCAGCAATAAGATCCTCAGAGTGTTTCCTTTTGTCATGCAGAAAACAGCCTCTGAGTGACACCAAAGGCTGCCCAGCCCAGGGGTAGGTTCTTAGCTCTTATCGGCAGTAAATGATCACATGCAGCAACAAAAGCCCTTGGAACCAAAGCCAGCAAGCTCAGCACCACTGACATTGAGGCCCATTTAAATTTTTGTTTTGGGAACTGCTAAACGTGCATGACATTTTTATGAAAAAGTCGGATCACCGCATCCAAGATGTAACCCAGCACCTCTGGAAAACAGTGCATTCCAAAAGATGCCAGGGAAGATCCAAATGGAGCGTGGAGAGTCGGCGAGCAGTGCAGCTGTTTGCAATGTTCCTAGGTGCTAGTTTTCTCATCTCCAAAGATGTGACCCAGCTGCTATCAATCTGCACCACCCTCATCATCACAATGGTGGTGTTGTGAGTACTAGACAGAGGCTAGAGATTTCCAGCTGCCACTAAGTTACCTATTGTCTCTCTGAGAGGGTTTCTTCTGAACAGGAAGAGGTAGAAACATTGACTGCCTCTTCCCCGCCAATGCTAATCAGTACTAAATGGGACCAATTTTCCCCACCCAGGAGACAAGCTAGAATGCTAATCAGGTTACTGAGCTGCTACTGAAGTACCCGTGCAAGGACGAAACCAATGTGTCATCAACAAATGAAGAACGAATGAACACATGTGCTCCCAAAGGTGGCTGCTTCTGCCTCTCACACCAAGCTCTAATCATCTCTCTAGAAGCGAAACTATTTAAACGTAATTTATTTTGTGTCCTCTGTGAGATAAGTGTTGGACTGTGAACAATAAGGTCACTGGTTCAAAGTCACCAAGCTGCGTCATGAGAGAAAGAGGAAGCTGTCAGCACCCATAAAGATTTAGCTTCAGAAATCCTAGATAGGGTCCCTATGAGTTGGAATCAACTTGGTGGCAGTGGGTTTCTTTATTTATTTTGGTAGCTCTGTCAATTCTGTTAGGCACACAGTACATATTTACTGTTTGTTGTTGTTCTTATTAAGTGCCACTGAGTCAATTCCGACTCATTCTGACTCTGTATAGCGCTTCCATAGAGAAGCTGGTGGGTTTCAACTGCTGTCTTTGAACTTCAAACCAACCTTTCAGTCCAGTGCTTATCCTACAGCACCACACTAGGACTAACATATAAAATGATAACTGTGTGACCCTGAAACTGTTATTTACTAGAATAGAATTTTACCTCAATTTGTTGCTAGGTGCCACTGAGTGAGTTCCGACTCCTAGGGACCTCATTCACATCAGAATGAAACACTGCCTGGTCATGTGCCACCCTCAAAACTACTGCTATGCTTGAGTCCATTGATGCTGCCACTGTGTCATTCCATCTCATTAGGTATCTTCCTCTTTTTCACTGACTTTTTGCACTTTACCAAGCATGATGTCCTTCCTTCAGGGACTGGTCCCTTCTGGTAACATATCTATGAGAGATGTAATTTTGCCATCCTGGCTTCTAAGGAGCATTCTGGGAGTGTTTATTTCAACAAAGATTTGTTTGTTCTTCTGGTACTCCCTGGTTCTTGTAGTATTCTTCTCCAACAACCAAACTCAAATGCATCAATTCTTCTACAGTCTTTCTTATTCACTGTCTAACTTACACATGCATATGTTGTTGTTGTTGTTGTTAAGTGCCGTCGAATTGGTTCCGACCCATAGCGACCCTGTACAGGGTTTCCGAGGGTGTAAATCCTTACGGGAGTAGAAAGTCTCATCTTTCTCCCGCGGAGCGGCTGGTAGTTTCAAACCGCTGACCTTAAGGTTCGCAGCCCGATTCATAACCACTACGCTACCAGAGCTGGTTACTGAAAATACCATGGCTTGGGTCAGGTATTGGGTCAAACTGAACATCTTTGCTCTTGAACACTTTTAAGAGGTTTTGTGCAGCAGATTTGCCTAATGCAATACATCATTTGATTTCCTGACTACTGTTTCCATGAACATTAATAGTGGATGCGAGCAAAATGAAGTCTTTGACAACTTCAATCTTTTCTCCATTTATCATGGTGTTATTTATTGGTCCAGCGGTGAGGATGTTTGTTTTCTTTTATATTGAAGTGCAACCCATACTGAAGGCTGTGGCTTCTGATCTTCATCACTAAGTAGTTTAAGCCCTCTTAGCTTTCAGCAAGCAAGATTGTAACTTTTGCATATCACATGTTGCTAATGAGTCTTCTTCTGATCTTTTTGTTGTTGTTGTTGTTGTTGTTAGATCAACTCAGCAAAATAAAATTCTGGTTTATTGTTGGACAATATTGTTTCACACATACATCAAACAGGCCAAAAAATAAATAAATAAATAAACAGCAACTTCATAGACAAAAAAAAAAAAAAGAAAAGAAACTTAATCTTTGGCCTTTTTAACCATCTCATACAAACCAACTACTTATAGTACAGCTAAGTACATACACAAAGTTACTGGAATGCTCGGAATAAGACTGTAATTTTTGTTTTTGTTTTTGTTTTTGCTTTTTTTACAAGGCTTTTTTTCCTCCTTTGAGATTATAATGAGCATGGTCACACCACAAGTAAAGTCAGAATTAGGACAGAGAATGCTCCAAAGGCTGGTTTGGTCATCCGAGATCATTAAAAATGGCTGACCCCTAACAATATATACAAAAATACAAAATGTAAATAAAAAATACAAACAAATTTCCCTTTTTAAAGTATTTTCAAGAAAAAAGCAGTGCCTTGGAACTTTTTTTTTTTTCCCCTGCTGCAAATTCACGTTGTGGTTTTGGTTGGGTGGTAGTGAGCGCGTGTTATCTGCGGGTGGCGCTGCCCAAAGTGGATGGGTGGGACACTCTACTCGAAGGTGACCATGTTTAGATTCTGACACGGTCATGGTGGCCTTTTAAAATGTAACTATTCCTTTTTTGCTGTCTAGTCATCCTCGTCTGTCTTCTGCTCCTTGGTGTCAACATCATCATCTTCAGCTGTCCGTTTGCCCATAACTGTCTCAGCCTCCTCATCTTCATCTCCATCTTCTTTCACACCATCACCTTCTTCCTTTTCCTCCTTCCCACCTTCTTCCTCTACCACATTGTCAGCCTCCTGTTCCCCTTTCTCCTCATTAGCGGGTGTGTCTCTCCCATTTTTTGTTTCCTCCACAACCTCCTTCTTCTCCTTTAAGTCCTTGGTGGTGATCTCAGAGTTGGTGTCCACAGCCACATCTGACATGATGGGGCTGATCCAGAGGATGACAAAGGGAGTGAGAGTTTGGGGACTCTGGTGAGAGAGCTGCCTGAGTCCAGAATCCGCAGTGGCTGAGGAGGAGGAGTGTGGTGGAGGTGGCTGCGGGGAGCAGGAAGTGGGACCCGGGAACAATGCAAAGATAGCTTTTCAGAGCAGCCAGTGCTCTTCCTCCAATCTTGATATCATGTTCTTTTCATATAATCCATCCAGCTTCTCAGATTATTTGCTCAGCATACAGATTGAAAAAGTATGGTGAAAGAATACCGCCTTGGTGCACACCTTTCCTAATTTTAAACCATTCCATGTTCTCTTGTTCCGTTAGAATATCTGCCTCTTGGTCTATGTTCAGGGTCCTCATAAGAATTAAGTGCTCTGGAAGAATCGTTCTCTACAACATTGTCCATAGCTTGTCATGATCCACACAGTTGCAAGCTATGCTTAGTGCAAGCACAGCTTTTAGCAAAGATTCTCTTGTGGTATCGTAACTTAACTTGATATAGCTTTCCTACCCAAAGACTTTCTAATTCCCACCAGGTGATTGGGTTTGTTGTTGTTGTTAAGTGCCATCGCATCAGTTCCGATCCATAGCGACCCTGTATAGGGTTCCCGAGGAGTGACTGGTGAGCTTGAACCGCCGACCCTGCAGTTCCAACAGCTTTGTAGTCTGGCACACTAGTGCCACACCAGGACTCCAGGTGATTGGGTGATTGGGTAGGACAATGCAAATAAGATGTACAGGATTCTAATGCTGGGATTGGTTCATTTTGCCATCCAATTAGGTTTAAAAGGAGTCACCTCAGAAGCAGTAACAGATGATCCCAAGACCATCATGAATGAAGAGTATTGAGTGGAGAGTGAGATCCCTACCAAGAAAAAACGGTGATAGCAGAGACCAGCAAAGGTAGTAAGAGAGAGCATCTGAGGTCTCTAGGACCATGAAATTGAGTAAAGCTGAGTGTCTACAGACAGGAGGCTGGCTTGGAGAATGTGCCCTTTGGCTAAAAGAACTTTGTAACATTTGCCAGAGCAAGGCAGAGGCCAAAGATTCACATGGGTGAGAGGCTGCATACAAGAGTGAGACATGCCTACAGTACAGCAGAGAAGAGGCATTCCTAACTGGAGAACTGCCTCATCCTTCATTATTTTTTGATACTGAATCGTATCCTGTGCATTTCCTCAATGAAATCCCAAGACCACGAGTATTGTTATGAGTTCTGTGTGGTCGCTGCAATGGATTACTGATGCCATATGTGAAGCAGAGAGTGCTGTGGGAAGGAGGGGTGGTGTCAGAATAGGGCAAATAAGATTATAGGGTTGGGGGCATGCCTGACCTCTACTTCAAAGGAATCAGCTTTCGGCTGACAATGAGTTAAATTGGTTCTCCTTCCAATGTGTAGATTCTGAGAAAGTCAAATTAGCTTCCACATGTTTTTTGGATATTCTGACATCAGCAATGATATCCCTCATTCCATGTTCTCTTCTGAATCCAGCTTGAACTTCTGGCAGTTCCCTGCCAATTTACTGTTGCAGCCATTTTTGAATTATCTTTAGCAAAATTTTATTTGCATATGATGTTAATGACATTGTCCGAAGATATCCACATCTCACTGAGCCACACCTCTCTTTGGAATGGGCACAAATATGGATTTTCTCCCAGTTGACCAGGTAGCTGCCTTACAAATCCCCTGGCATAGATGAGTGAGTGCCTCCAGTGTTGTAACAGCTTGTTGAAAGATTTCAGTTTGTATTCCAGTAATTCCCAGAGTCTTGTTCTTTGCCAATGCCAAATGAACATGAACCATTTCATTTTTGTACAGTGACTCTGTGTATTCCTTCCATCTTCTTTTGCTGCTTTCTGTATCACTTAATATTTAGCCCATAGAATCCTTCAATATTTAAAGTTGAGGCTTGATTTTTTTCTCTTCAGTTCTCTCAGTTTGGGAAATACTGAGTGTGTCCTCCCTTTTGCTTTTCTAACTCCAGGTCTTTTTGCAAAGTTCATTGTAATACTTGGCTACGTATTTTCAGGCTGCCCTTTGAGATTTTCTGTTCGGCTCTTTAACCTCCTCATTTCTCACATTTGCCTCAGCATTTCTACACTGAAGAGCAAGTTTCAGTGTCTCTTCTGGCATCCATTTTGGTCATTTCCTTCTTTCTTGTCTTCTTAATGACCTTTGGCTTTCTTCCTGTATGATGTTCTTGATGTCATCCCACAACTCTTCTGGTCCTTGTTCTTTAGTATTTATTGCATCAAATCTTGTTCTTCAGATGATCCTAAATTCAGGTGGGGTATGTTCAAGCTAAAATTTTTGTTCTGTTGGACTTGTTTTAATTTTCTTCAGCTTCAGCCTGAACTTGCTTATGAGCAATTGATGGTCTATTCCACAGTTTACTCCTGGCTTGTATTTGATGATAATCAGCTTTTCCACCATTTCTTCCAACAAGATGTAGTTAATTTGATTTCTGTGTACTCCATCTAGTGAGGTCCACGTATATAGTGGTTTTCTACATTTTTTAAAAAGGCATTTGCAGTGAATAAGGCATTGGTCTTGCAAAATTTTCTCATGAGATCTCTAGCATCGTTTCTATCACCAAGGCCATATTTTCCAACAACCGATCCTTCCTCTTTATTTCCAATGTTGCATTCCAATCGCCAGTAATTATCAGTACATCTTGATTGCATGTTTGATCAATTTTCAGACAGAAGAAGATGGTAGAATTCTTCAATCTTGTCATCACTGGCTTTAGTGGTTGGTGCACAAATTTGAATAACAGTGTTATTAACTCATCTTCCTTATAGGTATAAGGATATTATCCTATCCAGACAGCATTATACTTTAAGATAGGCCTGGAAATATTCTTTTTGATGGTGAATGTGATATCATTCCTCTTCAATTTGTTATTTCTGGCATAGTAAACCAAGTGATTTGTCAGATTCAAAATGGCCAATACCAGCTCATTTCAGCTCACTAATGCTTAGGCTATCTATCTTTATGCATTCCATTTCTTTTTGACAACTTCCAGATTCCCTAGATTCATAGTTTATACATTCCATATTCTGATTATTAATGGACGTTTACAGCAGCTTTTTCCCATTTTTATTGTGCCTCATCAGCAAATGAAGGTCCTGAAAGCTTTATTCCTTTCATGTCATCATCTCTACAAGGAGGCAGCTCTTTCCCAGTCACATTTTGAGTGCCTTCCAACCTGAGGAGCTCATCTTCCAGCACTGTATCTGACACTATTCTGCTGCTCCTCACCATGTTTCAATATTCAATATTCTGGTGCTATCTGACAGTGTCCCACTGCTACCTGTCAAGTTTTCAGTAATTAAACATTCAGAAAAAGTCCACCCCTTCTTCTTCCTAGTCTCTCTTAGTCTGGAGGCTCAGCTGAAATCTATCCACCATGGATATACCCTGCTGGTATTTAAAATATGGGTGGCGTAGCTTCTAGCATCATGAGCAACATGCAACCTAGCACAGGACAAACTGACAGATGAGTGGTGGTTCACATCACTAGAAACTACTACCACTGCCATTGAATACTGACTAAGTGTTCTAATGATCATCACACTCAAACAGTCCTTCAGCTCTTCCAATGAATAAAGTCCCCAATAAGCTCATTAGCAATATGTTCCTTACAGTGTTGTTGTTGCTGTTGCTATTAAGTGCCATCCAGTCGATTCTGACTCCTAGCGACCCTGCATAGGGTTTCCAAGGAGTGGCTGGTGAGTTTGAACCACCAGACGCTTATCCTACCACATCACACCAGGACTGCCTGTTGCTTATACTAACATGAAATTGTCACTCCTAGTAGGCTCTATGGGAGTCCTGGTATGGCGCTGTGGGTTAACGCGTCAGACCGCAAAGCCATTTGAGCTGCGAGGTCAGCATTTCAAGCTCACCAGCTGCTCCTCGGAAACCCTACACAGGATTGCCATGGGTCAGAACCAACTCAACAGCACTTAACAACAACAACAACAACAACAACAGCAGGCTCTATAGGATAAACACTGGACTGCTGCCCTCAAGGCTGGTGGTTCAAACACACCAGCAGCTCCTCTTGAGCTCTATACAGGGTCACTATGAGTTGGAACTGGCTCCAAAGCACTTCATAACAACAGTAATAGTTAGCAAATGACTATTGGCTTTGCTCCTCACAGAAGAACAAGGCATCTATATCTGTTGTACATATAACACCCACCCAAGCATTTACAAGGCAAAAGTACTTTTGACTACCAGGACCAGGACCACAGCTGCTCCTTTTGAAAGTTTTCTCTAGGAAAAGATTGATGTTCAGAGAGCTTGTTGTTGTTGTTGTTGTTATTAGATGCCATCGAGTCGTTGACTGATTCAAATACTTAACTGCCAGCCTGTTCCTTTCACTCACCTTGCCTTGGCATCTTTCTGCCAACACATATGTGCTCCTGAAAGAAAGCCTCTCTCTGTGTGTACATGTGTGCTGGGAGCAGGCACAAGACGCACACCGCTATGTAAAGGGAAATTTGATTTGTACTCAATGGATTCTTATTTGTGTGACCCTCAGGAACCAATCCTTTTTTTCCCCATGAGGTGGCCAGAACTAGACTCTGAGTACAGAATCGGTGCATTGGGTAGCTCTTTGTTCTCTTGAAGAAAACACCACAAATGTTGATTCACTAATTTACTCTACTGAAAAAGCTGTAGGCAGTCTCAAGTCTGAGTAAGCGTGAGTGTTAGAAAGGCCCCTCCAGACTTACAATGCATTTTTTAATGTTCTGTCTGGAATAGGAATATAAATAGGACATTAAAGATGTTGCTGCTGTTAGACCACTTTTAAGATCAAACATATTTTTGATAGTTTAGAATAAATACGTTAGAATTAAAACACCACACAAAAGAGTTTTCCTTTTCTGAGCAAGATGACAATAACAGGTATTGAATTTACCCTTCGACCTGGAACAGTCAAATGCATTCAGAAAAACACATGGAAACATGGTTTTC